AGTAAGATCTAGAAACACTAATGAGTATGATATAAGCAGAGAGAAAGCCTAGACAATAGTGTGGAGATGTGAAGGGGAAGTGGCGTATGAATGCACAGTAGAGTTAATTTCAAGACTAGCTTCCCCCTCTGACTGCCTCCTGGGTCTTGTTCTGGGGGTCTTCAGGGCCTAGCAGAGAGATCTGCTCTCCCAGATTTCATCTTCATAATCCACACCACATCCTTTACTTAATAAACTAAATAAACTAAAATCAACTTGCTTTTTGTAAACTAAATTTCTTAGAAGGAAACTGTAAACCACATCTGTAAATGAAAAAAACGCAAATACAAAGCATCTCCAACAGAAATATAATGAAAGCAAAACAGTGTCACTAAATTCAAGCTGATGTCTGACTCTGAGGTCTGCTCTCTGTTACCAGGACAGATTATTAGCAAATGGTAGAGAAATTAATGACATGTTGGCATTGAACTGAGACTTTCTCTTTGGCACTGTTAGCAGGACTGAGAAAACAAAAAGATAATTCTCTCTTTTTTGCTAGTGCCCTAAAACATCACACACATTGTTAGAAAGGGAAATATCCCCCCTCACAAGACAGTACATGTGAAATGGTTTGGCGTGTTGCCAATTTTTTTTTAAATGTTAGAGAGGCAGATTTTCAGAGATGGATGGGGCATCCTCCCAGTCTCCCCCTCTGCCACCCTGGGTGGGCACTGTTCCCCACTTCTGCTGAATCACTGTACTTGGGGAAGGAGGCAGTTTCTGGGGAATGCCTTTTGTCCCTCTCCATGTCCCTCTTGCTGTTTACCTGGTTGGGCTTGGTGTCCTGAGCTGATGATCAATAAAGGATTAGATGTAAAAACAAACCAAACCTGCTTGTCCTTAAATAATGTTATTTCAGGGTAAACATCTCAACCCTGAAATAAACCAGGTTTCAAGTAATATGAATTAATTCTGACAACATGATCCAGAGTGCAGGATTTGCCTTCCGGCTATGGTTTTTTGTTTTTTTTTTTTCTGTCAACTCCACTAATGAAAGAGAGAAAACGGAGGAGGAAAAAGGACCTTGATTTCGGGCCAGGGAAATCTTATTATTCACTAAGCTTTTTTGAAGTGATCGGAACACAGAAATGAGAGCTCACTTCTTCCTTCCTCCATCTCTTCTCTCCTTTCTTTTTTTTTTTCTTTCCCCCCACCTCTCCCCTCCGATGCATGTTTCTGAAGGATCTATGATGTATCAGGATAGCGTTTCCCAGCCTTGGTTCCTTTGAATACCAGCTTCTCCATTTCTGCCTAATATATAACCCACCTCTACTGGTAGTTACTTCATTTTTTAAAAATGTAATTCCCATTGTTTTACTTATATAAAATTGGTCCCATCCTAAAACAGTGAAATCCATTAAATCAAATTCTGTCTAGTTCTACATTTCCCCCAACGCACAGTAAGAGAAAAAAAAAATGTTACAAACCAAACTGAACACTACCAGTTACCTAAAGCTACCCCACTGACTATGGTTGGAGGAACCTTCAAGGCTTGCCAGGGAGGGGCCTGGAGAGAAGGCCCTCCCTGAATGCTTGCTGGCTGATCACAGTGCATAGTGTTGCACAAACTTTAGGTCCTGGAGAGATTGTTAAAATATTCCTGGGCCTCATCCCAGGGTTTCTGACTCAGCAGGCCTGGGGTAGGGCCTGGGAGTCTGCCTTTCTAACAAGCTGCCCCAGGTGATGTTGATGCTGCTGGTCTGAGGAGTCCTACTGCTGGTCCTACTCCTACAAGATAAGTAGGTCTTGGGCCACTGGGCATCAAAATCACTTGTAGGTGCTTCTTAAAATGCAGATACCTGGGGTGCCTGGGGGGCTCAGCTTGTTAAGTGTCTGACTCTTGATTTCTGCTCAGGTCATGATCTCAGGGTTTTGAGATCGAGCCCACATCAGGCTCTGGGCTCGGCACAGAGTCTGCTTGTCCCTCTCCCTCTGTTACTCCCCCTGCTTGCTCTCTCTCTCAAATAAAATCTTACAAAAAAAAAAAAAAAAAGATGCAGGTACCTGGGCACTACCCACAAAATGTTCTGATTCTTCAGGAGGGTGGGTCCCTGGACTCTGCCTTGTCAACCAGCTCTCCAAGGAACATCTGGAGACCACCTCTGACACTCTTTGGACACCATTAGCATCTGGAGCTTGGAGGGAGGTGGCCCCACCTTCAAAGTCAGTCTGCAAATCAGGGACAACTTCCCATTGCTTGGGCCCTAAACCTTAGAGCATCCTGGACTTCCCGGTTTCCTTCCTAGAGCCTCCATTCAGCGGGTCAGCAAATTCTATTGGCTTTTCTTTCAAAACATATTCAGATTTTCTTTAAAAGACTCTAGTACATGGACTTGGGGATGGAATGGTAAATGAAACAAGACTGGTAAAATGCTGAGGATTGTTGAAATTGGGAGTTCACTTTATTACTCACAAATTTTATGCAGATTTGAGTTTTTCCATAATAAAAATTGTTATCTTTAAGTCTTTGATCTAAAATCCATTTCTGGGAATTTATCCTAATGAACATGTTAGATACAGAAAAAAAAGTGCAAATAAAAATATTATTCAAATAATAATAGTGAATAATTGGGAACATACTAAGTTCTCCTAATAGGACAATAAACTGTGGGACACTCCTCAATGCAATTTTGTCATTAAAAACATTTATTCAGGCCATGTACCAACATGGAAAATGTGATATACTATTAAGTGAAAAACAAGACATTAAATTGTATATGTTGTATGATTAAAACTATACAAAGACTCCTGTCCTTAAAAAAGATTGAAATTTAATGGGGTGCCTGGCTGGCTGAGTCAGAACATCTGACTCTTGATCTCGGGGTTGTAGTTTGAACCCCACGTTGGGTATAGAGATTACTTAAAAATAAAATCTTAAAAAAATAAAAAAGTTTGAACTTTAAAAATAATTTTATATATCCAGAATCTGCCCACTTCCCACTACCTTCAACGCTACGACCTTTGCCTGAGCCCCACCATCTGGCCTGCATCCCTGCATCAGCCCCGCACTGGTCTCCCTGCTTCTACCCCTCCCATCTTTTTTCCATGTGGCAGCTAGGGGGGTCCTTCAAACTATAAACAGATCATGACCCTCCTCCGTTCAGAATCCTGCAAAGGCTTCCCATTTCTCCAAATAAAAGTCTTGACTTTACCACCACTACCCTCCAGGATATAGGACCTTGACTGCTCTGTTCCCTGCCTTGCTCTGGCTCCTCCAACCAAGCTGGCTTCCTTGCCATGCTTCACTCACTCACTCCAGCTTCAGGACCTTTGCGTCTGCTGTTTCCTCTGCCTGGAATGTGCTGCCTCCAGGTATCTGAATGAATGGCCCCCTCCTTCCTCCTGGTGACTCTTCAGAGAGGTCTTACCTGAACTCCTCATCCAAAACAGCACTGCTCCCTCTCTCAACTCCCCCATACCCTTTATTTTTCTTCATAGCAGTTAGTCAATACCCTCCCTGATGCGTTTGTTCCTTGTGTCCTATACTTAATACAATGCAAATCCCTTGAGAACAAAGGCTTTCTGTCTGATTCTCTGCTGAATCCTCGTACCTAGCACAGTGCCTGGCACACAGCAGGTGATTTGAATGAAAGAATGGTGGACTAAACACTCAAAAGAACTGTAAGTTTCATGTGGGCTTTCCTTCCTGGGTGATCTCTCCTTCCCCCAAACCTCCTGGCAGTGACAGACCCATACACAGCAGGAGCCCAGTGGGAACTAATGTGGATGACGGGTCTCCCACCCGAGGCCTACACCCACACCCCGTGTAAAGTGCATCCTGTGAAGTGGTGGCAGTAGGGCGTGTGGCTAACGGTAATGGCTTTGGGAGGGCAGATGCTGGCTTAACACCACCAACTATGTGGCCTTGACAAAATGATGAGAATTTTCTGAGCGTTAGTTTTTCCCTGTGCAGAAGGAGAAGGATATTAACAGCTCCTACTCCCCAGGCCTGGAGTTAGGTCTCAAGTCCCATAAAGCACTTAATAAGCACAGTGCCTGGCACAGAGTAGGTGTGCGACAAGAGGCCATCAAATTAATCAACAGCCATATATATACGTGCCTTTGGCTCTTTTCAGTTTACAAAGTGCTCTTATGCCTGTTTTATCTAATGGGAGCCTTTCAACCACCCTGTCGGTTTTATCATCATTTTTATAGGTGAACACCTATAACCAACTGAGCCATCCAGGCACCCTAAGCTGAACACTCTTAAATGGTGCCCTACTGGGTCCATTTAAGAGTGGCAACTGGGTCAAAGGCAACTGGGTCAAAGAGGAGCAAAGTGCTTGCCTATGGAACACAACTGAATCTGACTACAACCCGGCACCCTCTTGTCCAGAAACACAGCTGTTATCACTGCCAATGCTAATCAAAGTGGTCTGGACGGCCCGTTAGAGCCCCAGACTCTAAAGCATGTGCCTAGTGTGAGCCTGTGATCAGCAAATGAATTCAGCCAACAAAATCAGCCAATGAGCCACACCTTCCCAACGACCCTACGGAGGCAGGGGTGCTCAGGCTCCCGTACCTCTGAATGAAGCTTGTGAACAAGTCCAGACAGACGAGCCATCTCTCAGAGTCCACCCAGGATTTAGAATATTTTAGTTTTCCCAAAAGGGAAAACACAAAAGCCCTTTCTCTAGTTTCTCTGCTTCAAGTCGGGCGACAGCTCTGAGCAGCAAATGCCACCTTTAGTGTTTGAGATCCTTGTCGTTCTGCCACCTCTGGCCCAGTCTGCCTCGACAGAGACAGTGTTTCTTCCCAAAGGTAATCCGAGGGGGAGGCCCTGCATGGAGCTCTGGGCCTGGCTCTCATCAGTTTCCTCTACCTTCCCAGGATTGAAGGCCAAGGGAAGTCACACGGTAGGGAAGAGAACAGCAGGTGTTAGACATGAATTTTAGAACCACAAGGCCAAAACATCACAGACTCTTAGGAGTCATGGATTATCACAACTCTAGCATCTGAGAGACAGAGAAACTCACGATTTAATACCTTAAGCCTCATGGGGCTGGCAGAGATTCCACTGGATGGGAAGGGGCAGATTGCGAATCTGATGGCTTCTGGGTCAGAAGCTTAGCAAACATGCCCTGGTGAGAATATGGCCTGAGGGCTCCAGCCCCAGGAGGGAGGCTTGAGGGATAGGCCTTGGATAGCAACTTAATGGCAAAATTCTACAACCAGGCCCCTAGGGAGACAGGTGAAAGGGGAGAGGGCAGCCTTCAGAAGGATGCCACCAGGCCATCCAGCCAGGCCATCCAGCCCTGGGCCCTGGTGCTCCAAGATCTCGATGAAGCCAGGTTTGTGGCAGGCCACCAACCACTAGGAGACTCTGACAGCAATACCATGATGGTCTGGCTTGATGGCACTTGCTCCTTGCTTGGAATGTGCTTTGTGAGCAGCACTCACTGTCTGCAGAGTACTGCACAGCATCCTGATCAATAACTTCCATTTGCACAGTGTTTATAATAGAGATGAGTGCTCATGCCCCAAACCCTGGAAATGGCCTCGGAAGACGGGCTGACAATGGCTCTGGCCAGGCAGTGGGGATGGCTCTGGCCTGCTCTAAGGGCTACTTTGGGTCATCTGGAAAAAGGGTCAATACAACCACTCTACCCCTGGCCTCATCCTCATTCAAGGTCACTTTAGGTACTTACGTTAATGAACTTCACTGATTTTTAAAAATGAGGGAGAGTTCTCGGGTAATCATGATCTCATATCAAAACTATAAGAATCTCTGTTTCTCTCTCTATAAAAAATCACTGAAGAGATTAGCCCCCCAGGCTGCTCAGAGCAGGGCAGACCAAAAGACAGAGGTTGGACTGCTTTGCCAGTGTGCGAAATTCCCAGGAGAAACAGCAGGAGGCACACAGGGAGCAGAGATGCTCCGGCTCCAGGAGCCTGAAAGCCCTGTGCCCTGGGAGATGGAGTCCTTCTCCTCCAGAAGTCCCTGGTGCTTTTCTGTCTCTAGCGGGGGAGCAGAGGAGCTTGTACTCTTGGGAATCCATGCTGGGAGCACTGCTGGCTGCCAGGCCTGGCAAGTGGGACCAGCTCAGACTGGTGATGTGCTCCAGCCAGGATCAGAACTCATCCCGCAGCTGAGGGGGCTTGTCCATGCCGAAGAAAGAGGACAGCCTCCCCCGGAGGTCCCGTTCCCGCTTCACGAAGGCAGTGAAGGAGGAGACACAGTTGCCAATGAAGTGGTCAGCTTGGCCAAGGATGTACAGGTCGATCTGGGCCACTTCAGGCTTCAGGCTCACCACCTTCACCTGCATGAGGAAGGGAAGAATGTTTTCACCAGGGTGGTGACCAGTTCGGCCAAGGCCTGCAGCCATACCCTCAGCTCTCTTCCCTCGTGCGGAAGTGACAGACACAGAAGGTGGGGCAGACAGGATTAGGACATGGGGTCAGGCATTCTGGCAGCAGTATTGCCCAGCGGCTGCGGAGAGGCAGAGGGAGAGGGGGAAGCAGGCTCCCCGCTGAGCAGGGCTCGATCTCAGGACCCTGGGATCATGACCTGAGCCAAAGGCAGACACTTAACCAACTGAGCCATCCAGGCACCCTAAGCTGAACACTCTTAAATGGTGCCCTACTGCTCTTCAGAAAAAGATGACAAATCTTGAATGGGGCCTACAAAGCCCTGTTCAAGTCACCTCTCCACCTCTCCCCATCTCCCCTTGAGCTCCAGCCACTACCCACCAGGCTCCCTCCTGCCTCAGGACCTTTGCATGCACTCCCTCTGTTCGGGGTGCTCATCTTTTTGTCTGGTTAGTTCTTTTTTTTTTAAAAGATTTTATTTATTTATTTGAGAGAGAGAATGAGATAGAGAGAACATGAGGGGGGGAGGGTCAGAGGGAGAAGCAGACTCCCTGCTGAGCAGGGAGCCCGATACGGGACTCGATCCCGGGACTCCAGGATCATGACCTGAGCCAAAGGCAGTCGCCCAACCAACTGAGCCACCCAGGCACCCTGTCTGGTTAGTTCTTACTTAACCCTCACTCTGCAGCTCCAGTCTCACCTCTGTGGACCCCAATCTAGGCCAGAGTCCTCTGCTCTACATTCTCCCAAACCACATTCCTTTACTTTGCAGCACACACCTCAGTTTGTGGTTTCTACTCTGATTAATATCTGTCTCCTGAACCTGATGGGGTCAGGGCTGCGGCAGCCTTCTGGTCACTGCTGGCTGGGGCCTGCCTCAATAAACATCTATTGACTGGACAAGCGAATGAGTGAGCCCCTGCCCCTACTCGAGCTCCTGGACCTCTCGTGCAGCATATATTAGAGTTCTGTGCAAAGTCTCTTTTCCTGAGTCTAGACTGGGAGCTTTACAGGGCAAGACCACATCTTATTTATCAGTATCCCCAGCTCAGCAGGGCCCCAGCTTAAATGAGGTGCAAGGGTGGGCTCTGAGCCCATGAGAAAGGGGCTGAGGAGTGGGGAAGGGCAAGAACAGTGGCACAGGAACAGGAAATAGAAAATGGCAAGAGGCTCAAGGTGTAACAAATATATCAACTCTAAAAACTCACAAAAAAACTCCCTGGGACTCTCCAAATGCTTCAACTTAGTACAGAGGTGGGGGTGTGGGCAGAGCTGGGGCTGAAAGTGCTTTGCTGTCACACAGAGATTTCTGATGTAACAAAAATCATCATCTTGCTCTGTGGACGGTAGCAAAGAAATAATACTAGTTTAATCATGGCCAAAATCCCCGAGCAATTCCACCCACGCTCTGAAACTTACCCGCTCTGTGTCAGGCCCACTATAATTAGCTCTGAGACCTCTTGGGTAAATTCTATCCCTTCTTGGTTTCCTCAGCTATAAAATACAGGGGTTGGGTTAGAGGAGTCGCAAGGGCTCCCGGCTCTGATGGTCTTCTTTAGTGTGGGTGGGTGGGAGGGAGGCCAGGATGCTCGGCTTCAGCACCTTCTCTGCACGTCAGGGCTTCCAGCCCGTGTCTGGGGTAAAAGGGAGAACAGGGCCCCTCACATAAAGCCAAGGGTTCTCACTGCTAGAAAGCCAACCTTTTAAGGTCTCTGTAAGCATTTAGGGCTTTCATTCATCCACAAAATCTTACTGAATGCTTACCATTAATTCAGTCATTTTATCGATACATACTTATTACCTACTCTCCACTGATGGAGTACCAAACACATCCACTCTTTATTCACACACTGAATATTTACTATTCACCACTTCCTTAAGCACTTACTAAGCACAAAAGAGCCTTCCCTTTATTCATCAATCACCTACTCCTACTACTGGCGACTGCTAACATTATTGAGGACTTGTTTTGTCCTGGAACTGTTTGTTTCTTCATATCTGATCTGCACTACTGCCCAATGAGATAGGACCGCTCTCAGTCCCACTTTACAGAAGAGGAAACAAAAGCACAGAGAGCTAAAGTACCTTGCACAAGATAGCACAGTGAGTAGTGCTCACATTCTATGGCCCCAGAGTCCAAGCCCTTAATCTCTCTGCTACACTGGATTTCTCCCGAGGGCCCACTCTTTACGTCCTTATTCGACAGTTACTGAGCATCTACTGTGTTAGGCACTGTCCTGGACATTGGTGATGGCAAGGCCCCCAGATGCTGAGGAACAGAACAGTGAGTCAGCCTTGGACTCTGCCTTTAAGGAGCCACAACTCTTGGGAAATGGGCCGTGTCTCTGGCCTCATGCAGACTAGACAGTGCCTCCAGAGCAGATGTGATAAAATGCAGTGATGGCTTCAGTAGGAAGCTACAAGAGTGCAGGGAAATCTGGAGAGAATGTGCCAAGGTGTTTGGGCTGGGGTTTGAAGGAAGGATAGAAACTGGAGCAGAAGTGGACATCTAGGGGCGCCTGGGTGGCTCAGCTGGTTAAGCGTCTGCCTTCGGCTCAGGTCATGATCCCAGGGTCCTGGGATCGAGCCCCGCATCGGGCTCCCTG